AAAGACACTGATACCTTTCAGAATTAATGGTAAAAAATGTGACTTTTCTTCTAGTAGTTTTCAAGAACATGTGTTATTTTCTGTTGTTTTCAGCTCATAGATCATAGAGATTCTTGATATATACAACAGAAAACCATATAAGGGTTACAAAATTTTGCATAGTACAGTGAGAAATTCACTTTGTTGTTCATGGGAAGATAATGTAAAGACATACCTTAGTAGGACTGGCAACTGGCATGAATGGAATGATCTACTTACTAAAATACTGGGTGATCTACTAATCTGGTTTATATGGGTCTATAGCCTTTACTCTCAAATTAGGTTATATTTACCATTACAAAAATAAAATATCTACAAAATATCATTATCATTAAACCCAACACAAATAATTCCAGCTCCCCTTTTTGAGGCCAATCTCCTTCATCACAAACCTGATTACTTCACTTTACAAATAATGGACAAAACATAACCTAAACATCATCCCTTCCTCGTCCAGTGTTGAAAAAGATGACGAACCTGGTCATCATGCGGAGGCAGTCCTGCCCCATAGTCTGGAGCCTCACCCTGCGAGTCGTCTCTGGCCATGAAGGCACTGAGCCGCTCCTGGGTCAGGAAGGCCTGCACTGGGTCCATGTCTGCACACACTGGTGTGATGGCGTCCATCTATGGTAGGGTGAGAATGGGGTCTTATGCCTTGGACGACCTGCATTCGCTTTCAGTCAGCTTAAGGTCTGTAGGGGGATGTCTGTCCCTCCTCACTCAGGCTAGCCTGCATGACCTTCACTACCCATGCACAGATATATTTGTAAGATATTTTGATATTAGGATTCTTGCAGATTTAACTATGTTATCCTTAATACAGGATAGTTGGTTTGCAAACATGCAGAGAGAAAAATCCTAAAACTGTCAGGTGAGTTTTGCCTGGTGGGTGATGACATCAATGGTCCATGTTCTGGATGACATTCTCACAACAGTGCAGACTCTGAAGCTTTCATAGGGAAATCATGCAGTCCCCGTATAACTGCTATAGTGGAAACTAAATACATACTTGTACCTCTAAAGGATAAGTATTATGTCATATCAGTCATATCAAGTGTGGAGAAGGAAATATCCATAAATAATACATCTAAAACAATGAAGAAGTTTACACTAACACAGGAGATGCTGTAAAGCCTCTGCATATTTGGTGACGTGCACTTAGAAAATAGGGGAACAAAAGGTGCTATAAAAAATCAAAGGCAGACAAGAGCAACAACTCAAAAGGAAAAAAGCCAGTCTCCAAAAAATATAAGAATGAAACAAAAACAAGAACTTCAAATCTGAGACAAACACACACAAAGTATTGGCAAATTTACTATCTAATTAGTAAAACTTGGGATGTACAATCCCCTGCACTTTGGTGTAGGAAATTTTGTAATTAGACAAAAGGACTCTACTAACAACTAACAACTTAAACATCTACAAGAATTTGTGATAACTCCATATGAAGCAAAATGCAAAATAAAAGTAATGCCATAAGTACAAAAAATGAAACTACTGCTCATATTAACCCAATGGCACTAGACAATCACAATGTCTACTGTCATATTCTTGTGAAATTTGTATGCATATAGTCTGCTCCATAAGTATTCAGCCACCAAGGAGCTTCCTTTTCCTTTATTTTTCGAGAAAAGAAGATTTTTTGTAATGATATTAATATTGATGTTGTTATGATAGTTGTTGACATAACAATTATAATAATGATATTAACGATACTAATTGCAATAAAAACTATGAAAATCAAGTAAAAGGGTAAACAGGTCAGCTAGGTAGGACTAGTAATTGACTCATTGGTGATTGAGCACTTATGGCATGTATTCTTGCCATCCTATCAACATTAGGATAAAGCTAATGCAAAACTAAATCAAAATATTAACCTTTTGGATCCGGATGCTTCACTGCCATCACATGAACCAAAACACAGGCATTAGGCTTACTTGAGCAGCCACTCTGATGGGTGAGTGACTTGTAGGCCAGGTGCATGCAAACACTCATGTGCGGTGACAAGACTATGCCTCACCTCTGCAATGTTATTTTCTCTTTTTCTGCATAGATGTTTTTTTTTGTCATTTTCTAATGTCCATATTTGTCATTTGATCTGCTTTATCTAGATAGTATAAGACTCCATATCATCTCTTTTGGTAGTCCATAACTCAGTGTAAGAATAATTATAATAAATAACATTTTATTTGTGTATTATTATTGTTATTATTATTACTATTATTATTATTATTATTTCCATTTCTATTTTTTTCATTATTATAATTTTTTTTGTAATATTCAACTTTTTGTGATACAGCCTTTGCCGGTGGTCATGGCGGCCAGGAATAGGATGCCAAATATGAAAATAGCATCCTCGATGGAGCCCATGCTCTTCCAGACATGGCTCATAGTCATTATATTCCACACTCATTTATTGATGGAAATAATGTAAAATCCCCTTACTATAAACCAACAGAGTCTAATCACCCTCTGAGAGTTTAGCGTACTCATGATGAGTTGTTCCCGTCAACCTGGCCTTCAGCTGAAATGCTCACAACTGCAAGTTTGCGTCACACCTGCCCACAACCAAATTTTCTCATGAGAGCATGATCATGGCACCCTTCCCTTAAGCCAAAATTTGGTCATGACGTGATGGTCGTGTCATCCAGAAGGTAGGGGTTATAAGAAAAAGAGGGACAAAAAGCATGCACTTCTGAGAGAGCCAAACAAATAAAAATCTTTAAATTACTAGCACCAATTTGAAATATTCATTATATTAAGCAATGAGGATGAGAGGATGATTCATCATAACCTTCATTATCTTATTAACTCATAGTTTTAGGATATAAAAAACTTGGTAAGTGCAACAAATATTACTATTACTTTTTACTTCAAATAAATATTTCTGAATATCATATTCACATTTATAATTGTCATATTAAACTCATGCCATTGTGGATGGCATGTGTATATATATATATATCATACCTAGTGTGAGTTTAATTTATTAATCATCATTACACATAGATGACTCCATAAGTACTTAGTCACCAATAAGACAATTACTATTATCACCTATCTCACCTGTTCCTTGAGCTTCAAAAACATTTTCTTATATCATATACTGCTATCAGTAATAACAACATCAATATTAATAGCATTTTCTCCACAAACTCAAGGAACAGTGAAATCAGGTGAGGTCATGAGGTCTACTAACTGACTCCCTAGTGGCTGAGCACTTGTGGGGCCATCTATGTGTAGAGATATATCACAAAACAATATTACAGTGAATGCTACAATTTTCCAAATACAGTGGATTAACCCACTGTACAATGTATTTTTGCCTTGTCAATTACTAGGCCTATATGACTTGATCTACATATCTCATTTGTGAGCAACTGACCCCTTGGTAACTGAGGACTTGTGGAGCCACATGTGTTTAAAAAAAAAAGAAAGAAAGAAAAAAAAAAATCATCACTGACAGAGAAAATATACATGCTCTCACAGGATTGACTTATTAAAGATGTGGCCACAATCCATTATTGTTACTATTGTTACTGTCATTTATTCTACTGTAAAGCCTAGATGTCATATAACCACTGCTGCAACATATCCCTATCTGCATGCCATAATTATTATGTTATCATGATTACTTTTTCCATAATCACAATTATTTCTATATTTCTCATTGCTTCAATAAACAACAATTACTGTTATATAAATAACACTATAGTTAATCAAGGTATTAGTAATAATACAAAACACACTCTCCTGATACTAACTTCATCTTTACTATCGTCTATCTCGTTCTCATCCTTTCCCTTTTCATCTTCTTCCACTATACGTTCAGGTAGGGAGGGTCTTTCCAAAATCTCTGAGTATGAGCCAGTCATTGTCTGCATCTGGTAAAAGCAGGGAAAACAATCATGTTGCACGATAACTAATTAAATTTTTGTTTTATTATATTTACTTATGACCAGACTGGAAACTTTGTGGCACACGCAATATACTGTGTGCAGTTCGTTGCGTGCTTTTCTGTTTTCACCATGCAGCTCTCCCTTTCTTATTTGTTGGCCACGCAAAGTTGTTGAAGTGCCTGTTTACTGTGCAGCATAGATTGCCCAAGTGTAGATCACTTTAAAAACTGAACATCCTAAAAGAGTTATCAATTAAACTAATCCATACTAGGTTGTGCCATCAATGACAACCCATTTTAATAGCATAAAAACAATGTATAAATAATGTATCATCCATCACTAATGTTACATAATGCAAAACAATATCTATGCACCAACAAACTACACATTTTTGGACAAACTTGAAAATTTAACCACACAAGTTATGACTTTTGAAAATAATCAGGTTTCCAGTCTGGAACTATGAGTTACAGGAACACTTAATATTTCTTTTGTAATCTGGAAGATACCATGACCTATATATTGTTGCACATATATGATTTCTTATTTTTGCTATAACTATAATTTGAAAAGACCTAAACGCATGAAAAACAAAGCTGCTGAAAGTAAGGAGTAAACTGGTTTATATCATAATGAATCTAAACAGTTTACGATGGAAATAGGCAAAGCAAGAATGAACTGAAACATAGAAGATTGCTAATACTACTTTAATGGTACCATTGTTTTCATACCTTGCATTGTAAGTAAAGTGGTCCTTATAATTACTCACTAAAAATATTGGTCAATATGTAATATAGCGTAATGGCAGAGTTGGGTAATAAAACCTACATAAAATGATAGAACAATACAAACCAAGACAAAGTTCTTCTATGGCAATATGTGTGCAAATGCTTCCCAAGGGTGCTATACATAAAAGAAAAGAGAAGATCCCCCCAGTCAATATGTAGAAGAGGGTGGTGAGTTACTTTCAAAACAAATTTTTCTGCATGAAACCCACTGCTTTCAATGATTCTAGGCATTGCTCCTTGTGCAAATGAATCATTGAGGAGATATGATCACCAT